ATTAATTTACAACATAACGTACATGTACTATAGTACGTTAACAGCAGGAGCAAATGAAGTCAAACATAGGCCTACTCATTATCGCCACTTCAATAATCAAGGACACGTTTTATTTGTACCCACGGGTCTTCTTACACGCCGGAGTGGTCAAGAGTTCAATAAAAAATCAGGCAAGTTTCTTACATTCAATTTCTTCTCATGCTACATTCTGACGATCTCATTCTCACAGTAAAATTAACCAAACGTAAAGGTCCCACGGTTAACTCTTGGCCAAATATGTGGACGTGCAGAAACGCATGTAGATGTAATACAGTTACAGAAAAGTTATTTAATGTTATAGATGTAGGTAGACCTTACCCAATAAATTTGCAATATAAAGTAAATTAACACACAATCAGAAATACGATTTCATTTTAGAAATGTATTAGCACATGATTAAGACATTCACGCGCTAATATCGTTGTATACAATGTATACATCCTTTTCAATGGTAATTCCTTTACTTAAAACATGCCACAGAACTGAAAGACGTTGGCAATGACTTTTTGGATAGATACAGATAGACCTTACCCAATAAATTTACACTATAAAGTTAGTTAACATCTCAAGCAGTTGAAGTTAAGCATACTAATGTAGCTCTGTCGCACAGTATCGCCACTTTGATGATTAAGGAAGCATTTCTTTGTGTACCCACGGGCCTTCTTGGATGGTGGGGTATTCAAGAGTTCAATTCAAAAATCTTTTTTCATTTTGTTTATCTTCCGTAACTTTTCAGGGGCGGATTTAGGCCGTCTTCTGGGTCTTCCGGAAGACGGGCAGATTTTCAAGTTTACATTGACGGGTATCTATTTTTTTCTGTCGGAAGAAGGTCAAAAATGGAGGATGGATCAACAAAGATAATTTGGCAGACTCTCAGAAAATATCTCTGGATCCGACCCTGACATGTAACCTTTTGGCATCAAGAGGATAGCGACTTTGCTTGCGTTATATACATAGACAAATTTAAAATCTCTCACACTCTTAAAAATCACATTTATATTTCGACACCGTCTCGTAGTAAAAAATGTCACCATTTAAAACGTAGAATTATTACTCCTGTGGACTTGTAATAAACATCCGTCTGACTTTGATTATATTACAAAACTGCCTCGTTGTCAGAAATATCACAAAAACGTGAATTTCTCTCTACTTTGCACTTGTGAAAAATTAATTTGATTATATTCTGGTCCGACGCTCCTGGTTTACCAGAAATGTCACTTAAAAGAAGTGGATTTGCCTTGGGACCTTCTTTCCGCAGCAGTCCCAGCTAGGTGTGGCTCAACTGAGACGCGCATGGTCAGTGTCGACGGTTGATTAAATACTGTTCAAGCGAGTTGAACTTCCATAACAAGTATTTAGCAAAACTGACAAAATTGCTCAGACATTACATAAGAATTTGGCGGGAGGTGACCAGTGCACGTAGACGAGTTTATTCCATATAACATCTCTAGAGCGTGATATAGGGTCACTTTATTCGGTTTTAGGGGTGTTTTAGGGTGAAATGGCCATATTTTTTCTCGGTATGTATGTCAAATAATACACTGTCACCCTCTCTCGATATATGCCATGAACACCTCTCGCTGACGCTCGAGGTGTTGTGGCATATATCGCACGGGTGACAGTGTATTATCTCACACGTAATTGGAGCTCCGTCAAAAAATACTGTCGAAACCAAAATCAGGAAAAGTTCTAGAATCATAATTGCTGTCAGTAAAACTGTGGAGTCTATGAACTAGTATATAACCAAGTATAACAATGACATGATCACTTACTTGCGATAATCTTGAATTTTTTTCTGTTACTTGAAAGCCCTTGTGAATGCGTCGAGCAGCCGCTGTCTGCTTTGAGACTGAGGTCGAAACGAAATGCGCAAGCTCAAATTGAAGATACCCTCTGGTGCTATTGCAAAAGCTACGGGAAGATTACGATCAAACACACATTTACTGAAATCATAAACCACAATTAAAAAAAAAACAAAAAACGTCATAACCATCAATTGACGTTTGGCTGCTCCAAACTTTTATTTTTGTAGCGACATATTTAAAAAAAAAATTGACAGTTATCTTCAAGATATGAAACACACTTGCATACACTGTGTCCCGTATTTTTACTACCCATAGTTCATTTGTATCAAGAGAGACAATGCTTGTCTTACTATACCGTTGAGAAATCCGTGTCTTCGTACACAACGTCTAAGCTCACGAGTACATCAAGCTAAAAGTGACCGACCAGCCTAGCTCCCTTCACGTATTCTCATCACAACTTAGGCACAATTTAAAGGTACATATTAAACCGAGCGATGGTGGGGCATGGTTTCCCAGTGACCCCCAGAAATCACTTCTATTAGTTTCTTATACGATTCAAATAAAGTCGACTTGCTAAGGAATAAACCGAATTAATCACTCGATCAGCCATAAATGAGCTGTAAACAGCACCTTTAAATTTTAAGCTACTTATATCCTTAAAAATCGACTTAACTCTTGCTTAAAAAGTGTCATGAATGTCCTCACTAATGTTTGGCGGCCCATTTAGGCCTATATATACAGCAGAGAGAGCAAGCAGAAAAATCCGTTCAAATATCATTTTTCGGGTAATATGAAACGATGTCTTTTGGTATTTCTCTAAATATTTGAAACTACGTGGTGACATTTGGTCGACTTTTGTAGCAAAAAAAAAAAAGATTTCTTATGCATCTTTAAAAGAAATTAGAAAGGGTGAAATCTAGTTCTCGAATTTCGGAGAACCAGCACTCAATGTGTACAGATAGAGATAAGTTGAAATTGATAACCACCCTACATNAATAAAGTCGACTTGCTAAGGAATAAACCGAATTAATCACTCGATCAGCCATAAATGAGCTGTAAACAGCACCTTTAAATTTTAAGCTACTTATATCCTTAAAAATCGACTTAACTCTTGCTTAAAAAGTGTCATGAATGTCCTCACTAATGTTTGGCGGCCCATTTAGGCCTATATATACAGCAGAGAGAGCAAGCAGAAAAATCCGTTCAAATATCATTTTTCGGGTAATATGAAACGATGTCTTTTGGTATTTCTCTAAATATTTGAAACTACGTGGTGACATTTGGTCGACTTTTGTAGCAAAAAAAAAAAAGATTTCTTATGCATCTTTAAAAGAAATTAGAAAGGGTGAAATCTAGTTCTCGAATTTCGGAGAACCAGCACTCAATGTGTACAGATAGAGATATGTTGAAATTGATAACCACCCTACATGTATAAAACAATCGATTGTTAGAAAAAAAGGTGCGATATAAAGTCACCACAAAAAACTCCACCACAAAAAATAAATAAATAGATAAATAAAAAATAAATAAAAATAAATAAATAAATAAATAAATAATAATACATGTACAGATCTAGATCACGTTGTCGGGTGACGTAAATGTTGCCCATGCCGTTTCACAGGGGTGGGAGCCAGCATATTAAGCTATCAAACTACAGTATGCTGTCATTAGGCTATCTACCTAGTAGATGGATTTCCAAGCTCCAGATAGCAGCCAATACCCATTGGCTTCTCCTGCATGTGGGGTTTATATAATTTTCATGTCTTTTCTATTCTTTAAAGCCTTTAATAAAGAATATCCCTTTAAGTATAAAATCATGCAGTCAAATGACTTGAGCACATTTTAATTATTCGATATTCGGGATTGAAGACACACCTGACGAACTCGAAATTTCCCCATACCATATCATACCCAAAGGTACGCTATTCACTGGAGTCCAGGGAGTTAGGGCGTATGAAAGTGACACAGACAGTCAGTATTAGAATAAATATGAAGTTGACGGGGGGAGGGGGGGATTTTCGCNGGGGGGGAGGGGGGGGGGGTTTGGGGGAGATTTCTCGCAAGACTTACCACTGTCACCCAGACATACACGGGAGAGTGCGTTTGATCTGCTCGATATCAAATGTATCCCTGGGATCTGCCAGTGTTAAATTATTGGCCCATAATTACTGCTGGTAGTCGGCCACTGATTAAATCACTGATGTGACCGATATCTCACCTGTCAAAATCTTTCGATGTTTTTATATCTTCAAGTATGCACGATTTAATGGATGCTACAGAAAGATGCTAGAAAAATATCTGGCAAAATCTTTCGATTTTTATAGCAGGCGATCTTTGTTAGTTACGCTATTCATGAATTTAGAATATTGTTTTATCACAATATTATCCCGAAAAATTACATTACATTACATTTCTTTGACATATGAAAACTAGTAGTTTCAACCCAGGGTTGGCGACCTGTCAGATGTATTTTCCCAACTTGAAGTTGTATAATAATAATAATAATAATAATAATAATAATAATAATAATAATAATAATAATAATAATAATGATGATGATGATGATTTATTAACGTCTCACGTTTCATATACAAAAACCACCCTTCCCTGTTCAGGTTTTAGTCTCTTAAAAAATTACATTGTATGACTCTTGAGGGACTAAAACCTGAATATAGAGAGTTAAAATATATTAAAGTTTTTTAATACGTCAATGTGTAAATGAACCGGATAAAAGCATAAAGATTAAATCTAAAACATTTTTAATTTCTCTGCTCTATTTTGTAGATACTTCTTCACATAATAAAGTTTACTTGTTTTATATGAGAAAAGTATAAATCAAGTTAATAATAAGTAAAAACAATGTTTCTCGTTTTAAACTTAATTCAAGACACAATATGTGCATATATATACGCTCCTTCAGTGGTGTATCGGAATAACGCCTGGTTTCAACTCTGTGTTTACTCAACAGAGCAAAGGAAACGGTCGTGAGCGTTGCTGTGCTATGCTAACATAATTTTCACACAGGTTAATTCTGTTGCAAGTTCCCGTTTGAAAATCAAGTATATTCGCTGTTTAATAATAATATAAAAACCCCTCTTCATGTTCACATCTACAGTGAAGCATACAGTGTATGTTCATTCCAGTTTTTCTTTACATCTACTCGTATGAGTATTGATCAAAGGCGGGGTTGGATGTACCGTTGACATGGAAAGTTTTTGCCTTGGAATCCGTGTCGTAGATTGTCCCGGCGCGGTCTTCTGCACGTGCAGGTCCCCAGTCAGCTTGCGGTGAACCAGCTCTCTTTAAGGTCTAAAAATCATATATGTATAACTATGGCGTAACAATCTATTACTGTATGGAAGTAATTTGATCAAGATATGCGTTTCAATATTTGGTCGGGCATAAGTCAAAACTTTACTTCCAAATATACTACAAGTAATTCACCTAAAATAGACAGTGCACATTATAAACAACTGATTACGCCTGTAAGGAGCTTGCACGTGACTGAAAAAATGTAAGACGGAATATAGGTTCCGACGCTCTTCCGTTCCCCTTGTTTAAACAAACTTAATTCTCCTATTTAAAGTTAATATTAGTAGTAGAACCTAAGTTGCAAACAAGGAATTGTTATTTTACTGTCAATCGCTACCAACCTGGAAGCCGCCATCGTAGCAGTATCTTCCCAGGAACCAGGCAGGGATGAGGACGACGGGGGTCAAGGCAATTACCCATCCTATGGCCTGAGCCCATACAGGGAATGTATAGCCATGATACATGTATGGCTTCAGCTGAATGAATTTGAATACTATGACAGCCTGCAATAGAATGCACTTGTAATTATAGGTAAGACAAACTTCCGACGTGGAAAGAAAGATTAAAATTCAATTCTGGCTCACATCTTTCCAATATTCGAAATATGAAAAAATTCTGACTATACATAAATTCTAACGGCCAAGCTTTCACTTTCATTGTTCACTTACCAACATAAGAAGTGGCGATAAACAGCACCAAGTGATCCGAAAGTAGATACCAGGCTTCTTGCCAAGCATTATTTTCACGTCCTCAGAAAACCTGGACCATCCTAGAGTGAAACAAAAAACAATTAAGTCGCGATGAAACGAAATTAAATATATGCCATAAGCTTCCACATTCGCTTATGGGTTTAATGGCAATTCCTCCCAATATGTACAGGTATCCCTAGATGTGTTTCTTTAATGCAAATCTGATAATATATGATCTATATTAGATAAAACAATTAGCTGAGGCACGCACTGTCGTTACGTAGTAAAGGTTCTGTCTCATCTAGCGTAAAAAGGTGAGTATAAGTATTTGATTTTACTCAAAACTTTGAGCTTATGAAATCACCCTATACGTTTTGCGTATGCGGGTAAAAGTTGGTGTACGTTCACTTTCGTAGAGGGAATTTTTTGAGAATGTTCGAAACTTTTTGCGTATTCGAACGTCAGAGTTGTACGCTACCCATACGTCATCCATACGCTACAGATACGATAGACATAAGGTAGAATGGCGTTTATGTTACGTTCAGGTACGTTTTCTCATACGGTGACTGATAAAAGCTTGCCTTTGCGTAGTGCATAAGTAACGTAATGGTCGCGAACGAGTAACGTATTGAACGATTCTGTAACGATGGATAAGCGTATTTAGCGTATGCCTAACGTTTAATCAGCGTTTGGAAAATGTATTTCTTACGCTTCGTAATCTGATTTAAACAAGTATATGAGTAGATAATCGAGTAAGAAAAGATCAAATTACCCCTCACTTACCATACACCCACTGCAGTATTGCGCATTCAAATAAACTAACAAACAGCAACGGAAACCCTCCAACACTGTGATCCATTAGGTCTAATAGATAGTGGCCACCCTGAAACCACGTGTGATTAAAAGTAAATGTGGCGTTAAATTTTTTAGGTTTAATTATTTGAGCTAAGATACATGTAGCTATTAAACGAAACAGGATATAACACAATGAGGCTCTTCATGGGAGAAGGTGGAATTCCATCGCAAAGGGCCAGGTAAAACAAATGGTCAAGGATACGCGTCTGTGAACACAGGTTTAAAAGAGATACAGTTGATATTGCTATGAAAAATGCATACGGATAATGCGGTGTTGCGCCAACTATTCGCCCACTTTATCCATTAACAATGTGAAGTAACGCGAAGAATATTTACGTTTAAATGACAATTATTGTTGGTAGGCCTACCACACATTATATTCAGATTACAAAAACAGATAAATATCATCATTTTGGAATTTTAAGAACATCTATATGATTTGAAGGGACCCTACCCTTGCACACATCGGCAGGCCGAGCAGAAAACACACTCCGCACACGACGCCCCGCATGATGGTTTCCCTCCATTTACTAACACGTAGAATATGCGGATATTCGTCCATTATACTGCTCAAAACGGTCTCAGCCATGGAAAACTGTGCGCTGAATCCTAGTAACAGCATCATGGAGAAGAACAGAATGGCCCACAGAGTCGGTAACGGCATCTGGGATATGGCCTCTGGATACACGATGAAGGCAAGACCAGGGCCTGAAATAACCAAAGCTCTGTGTTATGTGAGCACATTGCATGGCGCAGAATGGCAAAATTTACGTTTTTTCTAATCTAAAAAGGGTTTGACCTTACTTTGACATTAACGCCAACAACATGGTGACATTCATCACTTTTATAAGAATTTTATTTTATCAATTTTTGCGCGCGCGTGTGCATGCATCTTTTTGTGTCGTATTTGAGTAAAAACTATGCAGCCTGCTGAAATGAAAACCGGAACATGGCATATATTTACCTTGACTAGCAACATCAGCCACATCTTTCCCAGATATATGCGCCATGTAGCCAAGTACAGAGAAGATGACCAATCCAGCATAAACGCTAGTCCCGAAGTTCATAAGGGAACAAATTAGCGCGTCCCTAGGAATAAATATGGCATGTATTTGTATTGTTTTAATCATTGCTAGATCTTACAGATAAAGTTAAAAGAACCCAATATATATACTGCTTTTGCGCTTGCGATACGTCTACCACTTCATGAACAGTTATTGCTTCATTACTAACAAAATGCTGTCTTAACAAATTTGTGATTAAGCAAAACGTAACTTGTCCAAGTTAAATGTGGATCATTTACCTTTTTCATAACACAAACATACAGTATAATTATTCTAAACTAAACTAACTTTCGCCCCTATGTCTACATAAAACATATGTTAAAAAAACACCCACAAGTAAATGGAGTTCAGTAAAACAGCTCAGTTTACCTGAAGCAGTTGTTGTGGAATTTGTTGTAGCTTGACATCGCTATCAGGCCTCCCAAAGATACGCTGAGCGAGTAAAAATTCTGAACGACTGCGTCACTCCACACCTGACATTTGAAAACGGTAGAAACTAAGGCAATCATTTAATCGAATTGCAGAAAAGTCATTAAAGCTACCAAAGCTTTACATCCGGCCCGTGATGAATCATTCTTGAAATTGTGTAGAGGATTCTTCAGATGTTTTAAATTATAAAATTAAATACAATAATTTTTCAACCAGATTGTGTAGTATTAAAATTCTCGCAATATTAAGTAATATTCTTAACCAAGACATGTACATACATATTTAAGTTTGACTTTCAAAATTTTTTTAATAATAAAAGAAGTGAACACAGAATTACCTCAGAGTCTAGAAGCCGATTAAAATCAGGCGTCAGATAATACTTAATGCCTTCTGCGGATCCTTCCAGTAAAACACCACGTACAAGGAGAATGGCCAAGATGACATGAGGGAAAAGGGCAGTAAAATAAACAGCCTGTAAAATATAAATATATTAAGTGTATCTTTGTTTTTGGTTACTTAAAAAACGTGAACGGTCTGACTTTAAAATGTACCTGCGTTCATTTGTTTTGAAGGAATAACACAAAAATATATTAAGTGTATTTTTGTTTCGGTAACTTAAAAAATGTGAAGCCATCTCACTTAAACGCATTTTAATCTGTCTTGGAAGAATAATACTGAAAATACACTGACAAAAATAAAAACACCCCATGTGAATTATTTATGTACAATACGATATGTGAAAAATAAATTCTAGGACCCGCTGCTGCACCACGGGAAACAAACTGAGAGAAAATTTACTATTAAGCTTTAAAATGTGAACATAATGAAGAGTTAAATAAAAAGTCTTTCAACCATAAAGAAAATATAATTGCTTTCAAGATTAAGCACCCATTAAATAATAATAATTATTATTATTAGACTGAATAGATATCTGAATCGTATTTTTTTGCACAAAATGAATATGTGAGAGATTTACATTAGACAAAAATGTCCACCAGAAAAATAGAGTTCTCCTTATCCTGCATGACCGAACTTAGGAGGGATAAATATATAACACTGGTCAAAAAGGTATTCCCACCTCCCATTCCATGTGCTTTTATTTACAAATGATTATCTCACGGGTGTTAATTGTTATAAACAGTGCTTTTTATTCAAGATACCATTTCTAACATGATCAATGGTGCAGAATATACAAAATAACGGTGAGGATATCCATATTTTTTTTTACCATTTATCCAAATTTATAACATGCACCCCTGCAAATCAGATGTTACACTGTGCTTTCTCCATAGGTAAAGAAATGATTATTGAATTGAAAAGACTACCATGCAATGTCGCCAAATTTACACACAGTCAGCGTTTGCTTGTGCTCGTCAAAGGCCACGTGTCTAGTAGTATGTATCTACTGCGTAGCTTTTGTTTACTACAATGTAAATATAAGCACATGGAATTGGAGATGAGACATGTACAACCTGTTTGACCAATGTTGTGTACATGCACTTTCATGCACAGCTGTTGGTTACCAGGCCTACCCAACTACCAGACTCGGCACCGAATGATCCTGAATTCACCGGTAGATCAGACCACACTACCCGTTTTCAAGGTGTGTGTCAGATGGCATTACACAGTATCATACCCTTAACAAATTTTGAGTGGTGATGCAATGCTTTTCAACCCCGCTGAGAATCGTCACTATCACATCGCGTACTAGGCAAGAGCGGTGTCGCGTCTGATACTGTGAAATGCGTACTGATACACACCTTGAAAACGGGTAGTGTGGTCCGATTTACCGGTGAATTCAGGATCATTCGGTGCCGAGTCTGGTAGTTGGGTAGGCCTGGTTACTACCGTAGTAGAAATACCCAAGGTTAGCACATGTCTACTACATAATATTAGCTTATGTGCACGAGGTCATTTTGCTCACCTTTCCCAGGGACTTTATTCCCTTAATCAAGACCAGGAACACAATCAGCCAGGCCAGCAGAAGACACAGGGAAAGGTCCCATTTGAGACCCCCTAAATTCTCTATCCCATCCGTCATTTCCAGGACTTTACGGCTACAAATATAAAACCAGTAAAGCATTCAGAATCTGTACATAATTAAATAATTTATAAAAAATTAAAAACTAATTTAACCCACTGACCAACATACTTCGAAATTGAAAGATTTTGAAGTTGCAAACAAACGGTTACAAAAAAATTACCTCCTCATTTGTCGGAGGTAATAACGCATAGACGATAGCGTCGATTTATGCAGTCAAACGATCTGCAGTTAATTAATAACTTAATCACATTAATAAACTAATTTTTAAGTTGACTGTGTTTCGAAATATGTGAATGAATGTTTTAGTTGAAAAACTTCTCTTGTGCCAGAAGCAGCAAGAGGCAGACTTTTGAAAAGCAGTCATCAATCTTCATGGTTTGATTATCTTACTAGAAATACTCCTCACTTGGTGAAGCGGAGATGACTTCGGTTTTATTCAGAACCATTGTTCTACTGGTAAAGTTGGTGGTGTTTGTTAGCCTACGAGTACCTTCGCCAACTTTGAAACAAATAATAAACAAATATGCATTTATACCGCTCTTTTTAATTAAATGAAATAGAAATCATTTTAAAACTTAAACAGTGGGACTCATTATAAAGTGAAAAACTCTGAAGTTCTTTTTAATGGATGCAAAAATATTGTCTTAACTATTTTTTATCTATAATTATTATTATTATTCCCAGAAAACACAGAACGTTTTATAACCTCACCATAATGTTACCGATACCATAACGTATTTTGATTATATAAACGATATGGTAACGTTATCGTTAACGTTCTATGTTCGCTGGGTTATATCATAACGGACACGATACAGTATATATTCGCTTACCTACTAAACATGCATCAGTATTCCACGTATTCCCACAAGCAGACCACGGCAAATTAGCAGTCATTGAGGCGAAGAGGTAGTGAAGGATGTAGGCAATTATAACGTTGTAGTAAAGTGCAATGAACAAAGAAATCATCATCATCCCATAGCCAATACCTAAGGCATAAGAAGTGGAAATTTAAGTATGGAAATAAACTCCTAATTGTCTCTTTAAGGTATACAAACAGCTTACCTTTAAGAAATAGATATATCAATGAGGAAATGAATCTTACCTTTGAACAATGGACTAATTTTCCAAATAGTGATAGGGCCAAGACTGGCAAACTGGCCGAAACATAGCTCCATAAAGAATAACGGAAGGCCAACCAAGGCCAAACTGACGCAATATGGTATCAAAAACGCGCCTGAAAGCAAATGATTTGTTATTAAGCAACAGTATATTTCATAAGCAAGTCACTTCAATCATAGACTGGTTAACAAAAGTCGAGCAAAAGACAGTTACTTCGTCGAATACGTTTGGAGCCTGGTTTTTATACAAATGTTGTGCAAATTGCGGTAGTTGAGATTTTTGCCCCGATGGAACTTACCTCCACCGTTCCTGTAACACAGATACGGAAAGCGCCATACTGATCCCAGGCCAACAGCATAGCCGACACATGTAATGATGAATTCCAACTTGCCTCCCCAGGTTCGTCGCTTGCTGTCTTCCAAGGAATCTATCTTTGAGTCCAAGCGACCCATTTCTACGCAGGGCTCAGCCTTAACGGAAATAATAATAATAATAATAATAACGATAATGATAATAATGATGATAATAATAATAATATACATTACAAGGCTAAAATCCAAGTTTGATCGGTAGACTTTACAATGCAATGTGAATAAATGATTAAATAGGGTGGTAAAAGAAAAGAAAAAATATTAAAACAGAAAAAATTGATAAAAACAAATTTAGTAGAAACTGAAAATGTAACTTCATCACTTCCTTCAAAAAGTCGTTTACAAAAAACTTGAGTTCTCTTTAAAAGTAGCAGGACAGTCTATCCTATCATGTGCGTAGAAAAAATGTAAGTAAATTTCATTCCCTAGATGCAGCGACTTTAAAAGAATTGTCACCATTTGAGACAATTATTATAGCTTTACACGGTTTTAAGAGTTAATGGTCTGAAGAGCGTGACTGGCAGGGGTAGGAGTTAGTAAATTCATACAAGATCTCATAAATATGGTGGGCCAAGTGTAAAAAGGGCGTGAGCATAAACTTAAAGTTTAAAATAAGAAACCGTGCTCTAATAGGTAGCCAGTTAGTGAGGTTGTTTGTGAATATAGGGGTAATGTGCCTGTCGCCAGGTGTGCGGGTAAGAACTCGACCAGAGATATTTTGTACGCTGCAGACTTTTTTTTGGACACCCACAAAGAAGAGAATTGCAGTAATCTAGTCGAGCCGTAGAGGAGTCACTTAGGTGGTTTCTCAACGAAGCTACGTTTCTGATGTGAAACATGCATGATTTAGACATTTGTGATATTTATTTGTCCACAGACAGAGAGGTGCTCACGTATGCACAAGATTTCTCGCATGAGAAGAAGTATTGACCACACTGTCACCTATCTTGATATCAATGCGAAGGGTTGCTGCAGTGTGTTTGTTTATGAGGCTGTGTGATGACCACTTATTCAGTTTTACTGCCATTTATCATTAGTTTGTCCTTACCCATCTAGGAAATACAGCTTTTCGTTTTGATAAAGGAAATTTCAGGATTCCTGATGTTACAGGGATTATAGAGCTGAGTATCGTCAGCGAATGTGTGAAAGTTAATTCCTTGGAAGCTTGTGATTTCACGAGGGGGTTGTTTGTAGATACAAAACTGGACAGGACCCAGTACACTTCCTTGGGGGACACCATGAACTAGTTCTGACAGACCGGAAAATAGGGAAGTTCAAGGGGTTTGCTTTTGATCCCGATGTTTTCCTTTGGGAAAGTGAGAAACAATTGATGGTTTAAAAGCCGCTGACGGGTCAAGAAGGACTACTTACATGACTGAGCGTTTTTTCTGCCAGTACACCCATGAGCAAATCATTCTAAATCATTCCCTTTGGAAAAATGAAAGGATAAAAAGTGAAGACATTAAAGAAAAATGATATACGTTTTGTTCACAATCTCTGCAAATAAGCAATATGCAAATTAGGAACAGAGGGGGATTTATTCGTACAGAGCGTAAGAACAAATGCGAGAATATTAAATGGATAAAAACGTAAAAGTGGGCAAGTAAAAAAATAATAATAAAAGGCAACCCCAATCCATGACACCACAGTAATCGTCAGTGCTTTGAGTACGATGGAAATGATGACAGGCCTTTAAAATGAAATTGTTGTTCGAACCTCGGATTATCTGATCACAAACGCCAAATTAACCACTCAACCCGCAAATTCACACATGGCACAAACGTAAAATTAGTTAATCTTCTGAAATACCCGAACGGTATGTTACGTATATGCCGGAGATTGTCAAGAGCGCACAACCTCCGAATTGCGAATAGTTCGGAATTGAGAAAATGTAGTCAACAAATGACCCTCAAGATAGCTGCCACTTTCATGTAGTGTCTCATACATGTACGATATTCAAACACAATTAATTACAGTGTAAATACGCAATATATCAATACGGTATTTGTACCCTGCTTTTTTGAAAAATGGTGATTTCATACGCTCTAAGTTATGCGTATAATCGATTTCAAATCATACGTGCCTCTAAGTTTGACAGCCCCATTACGTTCGGTTATCAATAAAAATATAGGCTGACATGTTAGTAAACATCAGGTAACAATATTGATTTATATTTGCTTACTGTCAGCATGTAAATTTAATGACGATTGACGCTACTTTAGTTTTATATCAACGGCATTTTATTCTTTTTTATGAGTAAATGGTTGGAAGTTCAACGCCCTCAATGAAGAAACATGAAGTGTTATTGTCTGAAGTTTTCCAAAGTTAAGCCTTTAATTCCTCAAAAAATTGTTGCTTTTAAATGCGCAAGGCGTTGAAACATTGTAATAATTGTTATCAAAATGATGACACATATATTTTGAAATGCTTTTGTAAAGAATATTTTCAAAATATACAGACAGCCAAAGAATAAAACTAATCTAAATCACATCTCTTTAATGCTCTTTTAGGATAAATGTATATTTTACCATAAAAAAAGGAAATGACTCACTATTTCTTCCGGCATTTCCTGCACTTTTCTTGTCACCAGTCTGGTGTGATGAGAGAAAATAAAGCTTTCCTTATTTATCCTGAGTATTTATACTTACCAAATAATTTTCACTTGGCTGGTTGTTTTTAGCTCTTTTTTCCTAGTTGTACAGATATGTTCTTATGGTCACAAAATCAAGTCTTACCTAAGATATGATGTCACAACCGTTGTGTAAGAACATCGTCACGTGTTTGGGACTGATGTCCAGTGTTTGTGTTTCGGAACCCGATAATTCGTCAAGGTTATTACAACCCAATACGTTCCATGTTTCACCTTTGATTTCCTATGAATTTTTTACATTCCTGACTACACCCTAAATCTTGCACTTCTGCGTGAACACGAAAACAATAATATCTTGTCGCAATGTGATTTCTTGACTCTAAATGGCTTCGAGTAGTGGGGAGTCAGTGGTCGGTGAAAGTTGCGAAAAAAATTATAAAAAGCCTTTTGGTAAAATAAAGTCTATGGGAAAGCTGTAGGAAGATTAACTGGTGCACTTTATTCTAAAGAGCCCAAACTGCGTTCGATAAGTTGGGAAATTTCCCTTTTCCGCTTAGATATTGTGAAAATTAACAATAACATGTTATGTGATAATGCTGCTGCAACAAAAATACATCCGGGAGAATTTGTTAAATGTTCGAATTGATGACATAACAGCAACCTGCACATTTTTTCCATGATGATGCACAGTAACCTTTATTAACCACAAACAAAATATTTTTGCAAAACTTGCAGGAATAAGTTATGGGAATAAAATACAGATTTAACTCTCAAACCAAAGCTATGTTTTTTTTTTTTTTTTTTTTTTTTTTTTTTTGAAGCTCTATTTTTTTTATAGATATCTTATCGTTTTTCATATTAATTAGCTGGACTAATTTAAAGACAAGTCTTTTTTTAATATACTTGATTTGTTGGTATGCTCACGACCAGTTTTAAAGCTATCATTGCTATAAAGTCTATTCAAATCTATGGTGGTGTAGACCGATCAGTGAAGCCATCGACTGTAGCAATTTGTATTTTTTTTTTAGTTCTGACTTTTTTACGGATGTCCATTTGACAGCCTTGCTGCCTTATTGAAATTTTGTATCACATTACTTCTTCTCCATTCTGATAAATAACAATTTTCAGTCATATGACATAAGTCTTATTTACTTTTAAGCAAAACAGAGCTATGTTGTGCTTGTGAACATTTGGTTACATTAATCATGTATAATAGTTGGGTTGGAATCAAACAATTGTTACTAGATTACCTTTAAGAGGCACTCTTGTTGCATTATTAATATAACCACTGATTTTTAAACATTCACCGTCTCGCTGACAACGCGCCAGCGAAGAAAGGTCGACTTTTCTCCAACACGGGCCGTCAACCGGGAAATAACTTACATGCAAAACGGTGTTGACATGACGAAAAACAAGTTAGAACTAAAGCACATGTTGAGCACGTGTTATCTACAAAGTGTTTAATCGGTCGATCCTCTCCGGCCTCAAACACGTTGAAGTCCACATGTATAATTTCGGACAAATAAAAACTATTCGTCGAGGGTATTTTGATAATGCTCTTTGCCTTGTAATTAAAAGCAGAAGGATGGTACAATGAGGTTTAGGCGCTGACATCAGTCTTGTCGAGTGAAGAGCAGCCAACCGACTAAAATTATCGCATCAGTTACAAGATGAGTGAGCAGATTGAAAGGAAAGTTTTATAAAGGAAAAAATCATGCAATGAATTGCAAACCACGTCTACAACCCACAAAACAACTTGTGGCTATAAGAATTTTTATTGTTAATTGGATCCCAGTACAAAACTAAACACGGGTCAGGCAACATTCTATCAGACACTTGCAGTTGTTATGTTCTTATACATCGAGGTCTCCCACATTTGTTCGTAAGCTGAAACATTTAATATATTATATAATTAATTATTTAGAGTCTAAAATCCATAAAAATATCTTCTGTAGACTTACCAAATGAAATACAAGGTTAAAAGGATTCATTTTTATTAGAGAGTAATGGTATGAAAAGTAAAGAGAAAAATGTCCAATTATAAGTTTCTGTAAAGTATAAAATGTTCAATCATAAAACTTTTTTTAAAATATAAATTCTTAGTGCTTTTTATAGTCAGTTTCTGTGCGTATATTCCTTCGTTCTGGTAGTAACTGATTCCCTTCACACGGAGCTGCAAATTCAAAAGATTTTTTCTCCAAATGTTTTAAGACTGCGCATTGAGATTTAATAGCAGTTGGTCCTTAGATCTTAACGTGCGATTTGGTGTGTAATGAGATACAACTTCACATAGATAATCTGGTGCAAGTCCATAAAAAGCCACATGAGCGTATGCTGAAAGTTTGAATAAAATCCGTGCATTTACAGGCATCCAGCGAAGTTCTTTTAAAATCGGTGCCATGTGATCCCCTAAAGAATTCCTATTAGGGAGACGAGCTGAGATGTATGAATTGCGTTGAAGTTTCTTTTTTCCACTTACATGCTGCAACCA